TGAATGCATGTCTACAAAGCAGACGGCCACTTAATTTACCAGTGAAAGAAAGGAGTAAGCACCCTCTGTAGGAGAAACAGGGTCAGTCTGCAGTGGGAAGCAGTGCAGATATTTACTCTCTCAACACATACCGCCTTACTGGCCCAAGAGGATTACCTTGGAACCTGACTCCCTCCCCCGGGCACTCTGCTGTTTGTCTAGCCCTGTTATGGCCTTGAAACTAAACCTTGCTCCCCTTTCTATCTACACTCTATTCCAGTACTCTGCCTTGATTATGTCTCTTTGCCAGCATACTTCTTTCCTCTGTTTTTTTCTGGAACCAAGGGAATATCGTTTATTGCCTCCCTGGATGCCCACAGTGTTTGTTTGGCCTTTCCAGTTCGTTGGCCACATCCTGTGGGACAGATGGATCCTGGGGTTGAGTGATACTCTGTACTATGTAAACTGGAGGTTGCAAAAATCACAAAGATAAGGTAAAGCATAACCTAAAGCTAAGGAAAACTGCATATTATATTAATGTCTTTGGAGGGAAGGAGTATTGATTATGATCCCACGGGCTGAGCTCCAAGCCATAGCTCCCTAGAGCACTTGGATGTGCAAACTGCCTTCTCACCAACTTGGTTTTGTTGTGTAATGGATCGTCACTCTGGGTGCTTCCCAACTAGCTGGGAAGGCCTGTGGCTCAAGGTCAACCCAACGGTGAGCTCAAAAGTGTGCTCTTGAATGTGGGCCATGTGAATTGCCTCATGGTCCATGGGGAGAATCACGGGAGATCAGGAAGCACCAGCAAGAGGGTGGCCTTGGCATCACCCCTCCAGTCGACTTTGGAAATGCCACTCAACCCATCTGGGCTTGTTTCCTCCCCTGCAGAGTGTCTGAAGGTAAACCAAGTGACCTCCCAGATTCCGTGGTTCAACCCTCACTGCACTTGGGAAGCCAGTTCTGCCCCTCTAGAAAGCAAATTCCATTAAAATTTTGCATGCTGTTAGAAGGGTTCAGATAAAACACTGAAATATAATTCTGGAGAAGGGGCCAGCCCCACATGCCAGGTTAGGCTGTAAGTTTAGCATGTGTCTTGCCTCCCGAAATCAGATCTATAGAGAGGCCCCCACAAGTGAGAGCGGCAAGGAGCTGCCCAGGCGCCCCTGGCCAGGGCCAGCGGGGACGAACATCGTGTCCCCTACAAGGGCATCCCCGGCCCTCCTTCACTTCCATACCTGCCCTTCCTCCCTCTTGCTCAGCCATCCCTCAGCCCTGACTTCTCCATGGAGCCTGGCCTGACCACCGTCAGGGAACCCCTGGGCTCGGAAAAAGTCTACAAGGTCCGCAGTGCAGTGTAGCAGTTAGCTGCCTCAGGTCTCCACTCGTTTGTTGGTGGCTCCTGTTATCCTTTTTTTAAGATTTTATCTATTTATTTGACAGAGAGAGCGCACAGCAGGGGGAGCCACAGAGAGAGAGGGAGAAGGAGGCTCCCCGCTGAGCAGGGAGCCCAACACTGGACTCAGTCCCAGGACCCTGAGATCATGCCCTGAGCCGAAGGCACACGCTTCACCGACTGAGCCACCCAGGCGCCTCTGCTGTGTGTTATTCTTGTCTTTTTAAGTTCCTCCAGGGAAGGAGGCATGTCTAAAACTTGCCCCTTCCCTATGTCAGAGTGAGTGGTGAGATGGCCAGTAAGCTTGGTTGACTGACTTACAGAGGACTGGGAACAGAACACCAGTATATGATCACAAGTTAATTCTGTCTGAATCTTTGTAATTATTCAATTCCGGAGCCTTTATTTAAATGTGTTCTAATTAAAGCCCGTTGTTTAACATAGAGCTCCCCATACTGGAAAAGTGACACACAAAGTTCATGTGACAATTTCTGGATTTCCCAAGCACTTTCCCTCACGGCTTAGGTCAGTTCTCACACGGATCCCGTAGGAGTTTACAGGCCAAGAAACCAGGGCTTGAGCAGGTGGACTTACCTGCTGAGTCACACAGACACGGAGGGCAACTGTCCTTCTATCGGGTCTTTGTCACGAGTCCTCAGATTTCCCTCTCAAGAAATAAGGTTGAATTTTGATAGACGGAGTGAACTTGGGAGCTAAAACGCTGGGGCCTAAACTGTCTTTTTATTTTTCCTGAGTAATGGATTTTAGAGACTGTGAGTCTTCCTGTGCGTCCTGTGTGCGTGTGCGTGTGCGCGTGTGCCTGTGTGTGTGTGTGGGGGGACCGGGCCAATCGTCCTGTTGCACACGTAGAGCTTGAGCAGCCCGTGGACTGCAGTGGAGGGGACACCTGAGGACGGCTGCAGGAGGCCCAGGGAATCCTCCGGGTGCGCAGGAGAAGCATGCATGGCTTTTTCCTCCCTCTGGCTCTGCAGCCTCTGGAGGACATGAATATCTGCAGCCCCGTGCAAACGTCCCCCAGCTGTCTGTCTGAAGAAGGATGGCGCTCTCGGCCTGTGTGCAAAGGAGCCCCCCGCTAGGCGCTTGCTGGGTCTGCAGCAGGCCTCCCTCCCACCCCGCGCTCCGAGGCCGGCAGGCCCCTCATGCGGGGTCAGCGGGGCACGGCCACGGCCAGGCTCCCCTGTTGGCTGACGATGCCGAAAAGGGAGTTCTTCCAGCGCAGAGAGTCAAAGCAATGGTCGCATTTTCAACTATTCTCCACTGCTTTGAAAATGAGAAAGACTTACCATTTAAGTGAAAAATGGCACTTCTTTCAGTGAAGAATATTTCTTTTACAAGCTTCCAGCGGCCTGACAAACCTAATGGAAGTCACATGCAAAAGAAATCAAATTCAGGGTGTGCTGGGGCCTTGAGATTGGGCCGGGCGTCTCCCCCCGCCGCTGTTGGCAGCGACTGAGCCCACCCTCAAGGGGTCACGAGCCTCCTGGCTGCCCCTCAGGTGGGGCATAACCCAGAAACTGCGGTGGACACGTTCTCTAATCAGCTAGCAGCCAGCCTGGAAGCGGCTGGCTCTGGAGATACGCTGCATATGGTTATATACACATTGTATACTCTCTGTATATCCAAATGCATCCGTATGGTTCTTAAAAGAAAGTTGCTTTACATTTTGCATCAGGAGAGGGAAACATCTGGAAAGAAATAAGCTCAGGTGCTTTCCCCAGCAAGCTGCTTCTGTCCTGTATCTTGGGAGCCTACAGAGTAATCCCAGGACAACAAGTGGCCTGAGGGCCCAAGACTGTGCGCTAAATGTCAGGTTTCCAGGATGGAGAATTCCACTTGGGAGGATCGCATGAAGGAGTGTCATCGAATTTTATAACTATTATTACTCAGAGGGAATGTGAGCAGGCAGCCACGCATCCTCAATACACTGCCTTCTTGTCTGGACAGAGCTACGTGTGAATTAGGGGCATTTGAGAAAGTGTTAAAAAATACAAATAAAAGCAGCGGGAAAGGGTAGATTTGGTGAATGGCTGGTTGTGCTGGGAGCTGACCCCCGTCCTCTGAGGCCAGGTCTCTTGGACCTCTGACAACCCTGGACAAGTGAACAGGTCCCTGAGTTAGTCCAAACTGCCCAAAGAATTGTATGTAATCAGCAAAGATTTCTCTTCCCTTGTAGTGGGAAAATATAATCAGCAACATCCAAGTTTGGCCAAATCAACCATTCACACTTACTGTTAACTTCTGATGGCCTCCTGGGTTGCTTCTGGGGACCATGTTAACACACTGGAGTTTTGCAAAGAGCATGGGTTCCTAAGACTCATTGTTTGGTAATTTGCTGGGGAACGTCATCACGGTATTTGGAATATTAAATTCTAAAGACAGATGAGATGTTTTAGAGGGAAGGGTAGCCCCCAGTGATTGGATTCTCGAGGCATTGTGTCAGGTATGCATGATTTTATTTAAAATGCATCCAATAAGGTTTTCCACCTGGGATGAACATTTTACCTCTTCCCATGTATTGTTATAAACAGTGTTTCCTCACTTCATGGAGTTTCTTAGAAAGTTCTAAGTAACTTAACAGAAGAGAAAAATGAAAGTGTGGGCGATGGAGTAACGGGGAGTCGCTATCACGGCGAGGGTGCTCACGCATCACGCAGCCCAGCCCCCGGGGCACACAAGTGACAGGAGGGTGAGGAACAGACCCGGTCATGCAAGTCCTCGGACCATCACTTGGCGTCCTTTGGCAGTCCTGGCATTCTCTGTCACTAGCATGGAGAGTAAAAGGAGTCCGATGATTTCAGGGAACGGGAAATTGTCCCTTGCTCGTGGTGGTGGGTTGACCAGCTGGGAGGAGACAGGAACACGGATGTGGTGTCACCGGAGCGTTCCAGAATACCGAGGAGGCTGTCCCGCCGCGGAGCCCCCGGGGAGCCCACGGCGGCCCCAGCAGCCCTGCCGTCCGTCCCCGGGCCCTGCCTCGCCGGGGGACAGTGGCTCGCCGCCGCGCCGGCCGACGGAGCACATTTTCACGAAGGGGGCAGTTGCTGTTCTAAATTACAAGAACCTGGCAATATGAAATTTGTGTTTTCAGGAGCCAAAGGTCATAGCACGAATGAGGTCTACATGTTGTCACACGGGGCCACAGAAGGACACGTCTCCAGGTTATGTCGACCTGCCCGGAAGAGAAACAGAGACAAAGGGCACAGCAATGCAGGGTGTTCCTAGTACACGGGAACGTGCCGTGCACGGTAAGTGGGTCGAGCAGCAGGCCCTGGGGCTCCTGCCTGCTCTTTGGAGCTGCGGTCTGGGAAGAAGCCAAGGGCAGTGTGAGGGGGCAGGCGGAGGGGCAGGCGGGCTGGGGAATGTCACCATCTCAACACTGGTTCTAAAGTGACTTCGAGATGGCCGCTCATTTACAGTCGAAACCTAATCCCGAACAGCATTGGCGCCCTCGTCCTCCCTGTGAACACATCTGTTCATAAATAACTTAAACGTCTCCTTGGCATTCAGGATTCAGTTCCGGCTGGAGTAGAAAAGGGTGAGGATGCTCGGCGTTGAGGAGGAGATGTCGGGAACTCGTGTGTGTGGACAGGTGGCTGGAGCGTCTCCCGCACGTCGAGCACATCAGCCATCAGACACGGGCGGGGTGACCCAGCCGTACTTTTCATGCGTCTTCACCAAACTCTTGAAGGTAGCTTCGGCTTCCTTGCGGCTGAAGGACTTTTTTGATTTGCCGGCCTTTCTACAGATCCGCCCCTGCGGGAGAGGGAAAGACAAACCAGGTCAGAAGCCCCCTGGATGGCACCAATAGAGCAGGGGCGCAGGCTGGTGGGGAGGGAGGGGTGCAGCCCGGCTTCCTCAGACGCCTCGTTCCGGGGGCTGGGAAGCACCTGCTCCCCCTGCCCCAACGCCCCCCCCCCCCCCCCGCTCCCTCTGGCCTGGGAGGGAGGGCCGGCTGTCCCAGGAGAGCATCTGCCATCCGCAGAGACGGCGGGGGGTTCCTGGGGCAAAGTGGGGCTTCCACGGCCTCTCCCCCCGACCGGAGGATGCTGTGCTGTGACTTCCAGCCCTCTCCCACAACAGTGAAGACAGAGATTCACAGTTAGATGTGTACATTTATAGATTTACACACACATTTCAAAACTCTTAAAACTCAAGCCCAGGAACAATGGGTGAATTTCTTGTAATTTACGTCACATGGGAGCCACTTCCTGAGAAGACAGGTGGGCAGGGGGGCCGTTTTCGAGGAGGAGGGAGGCTGTCCAGGGCTCCCAAGAGGGAGCAAAGGTGAGGGGCCGGCACTCCTTGCACAATCCCTGGAGAGGGGCAGGGGCCCAGGCCCATCCCCCTCACCAGGAGCAGGTGTTTCTGGCCCGAAAGATGGGACATGAACGTCTGCAGTGGACAAGAGAGTCTAATCCATCTCGGGACAGACGCAGCAGGCTCTAGATCATGAGGGAGAGGGAACCCAAAGGCATTCCTGGTGTGACCGTGTCTCGGGCCAGGCCCTCCTTCCCAGAAAGCTGTGGGAATGAGGTTTATTTGGAAACCAAGGGAAGGAGCAGACTGAAGGAGAAGAGGAGCTCGCCGCAGCGTGGGGGCCTCCGTCGGTGAGGGCTGTCCCCCCGGCTCTTAACCCCCAGCCTCGCCGCCAGCCATCCCCGCATGAGGCCTCGTGATGAGCCACACTTCCCCGGGCTGGCTTCGCCCAGCTCCCCCTGGGAGGTCTGCGTGTCTTCCTGAGCATCTCATGCACACGTTCTGCAGGTGGGGGGGAGGGGCTACCCCAGAAAGACCTGGCTGAGTTTGACCCACCGGCAAGCACAACGCACTCTCTCCAGCAGCCTCCTGTTTGCAGACCTTCACCAACAAGTCTCTCTGCATCCCCAGCACGGAGCGGCTTTGTTACGGCACACCTGTGGGCCTGACCCGGCACCAGGCCTCGCCACCAGTGGCCGGGCTGCTGCTCCCTTGGACAGGCATCCGGACGACAGTCACCTGGGCCTGCGTGACCACAGGCAGGCGAGGTCCGCCCAATCTCAGCCGTCTCGGACAACCCACGGACAGTGCTAGTGGGAACACAGCCATACCAGCCTTGCCATTCACGGGGAAAACGGCACCCGATCGCTAAAAGTAGGAATGGAACACTGTTCTGTGTTCTTAAATTCAGGACATATGGTTCAACATCTGTCCTTTCAACACTGGAGACAGAGACCCATGCCCAGGAAGAAGCCAGAAGTCCCGAGTTACAGCTGTGTCCTGACCCCTCTGGACATCTTTCTGGCCGAACGTGTCCATCTGCCGATGAAGGGCAATGCCGCCTTATCTAATCTGCTGCCCAGTTCACGCTGAATGCGCTGCTAAAGGGCTGGAGGAAGACTGGGGGACAAGGAGGCAAGGGACGGCCATCTACCGACCTCCAGGAACTCCCCCACGCCTCTCCAGGATATGACTCCTAGTTTTAATTTTAGAACTTCCTACTTTGCTTACGTGGTATCGTTATACTTGATAAAAAGGGACCACGAAACCTAGTACATTTATAATTATCATCCCGATGGGTTGAGATCAAAGTCGGAAGCTGTTTCATTAAACACAAGCACATGCATCTTTGCCGGGGTGCCCGCATCAAGCTCCACATCAAGTGGGAGCAAGTATCAGGCTATATTCTTTTGTCTAAAATGCAAATTCCAGCCATCTCTAACATTCTCGTCTAGAACACCGGAAGTTTGTGGCATGGTTTGATAATTCTGAACTGAAAACAGCAAAAACAAGCTTACGATAATCTTGGGGTATTCCGTTTTTGGCGTGAACACATACTTTTTGCCTGTTCTTTGTGGAAGTCCCAACTATTACAAAAAACAACAGACAAAATGAACCCCAGATGAACAGACCACTCTTTGTTTCCCTTTCTTCCCAGGAAATAGTATGAAAATAAAGCCCCAGCACTCAAGTCAATTCAGCGACCAGGAGACAGAGCCTGTTGTCAGCCCACCGGAGGTCTCTGGGCCTTCACTGCCCTCAAATGCCCATGAAGACTTTCCCTTCCTCCGTGGTCTCTGGCATTTTAGTTTATGGTTAACAGATCTCTTTTCATAAATTGCCCGTCCTCTTCTGATTGGCTGTTAAAATATCACCCAGGGAAACACTGAGCTTGGAAAGCAGCACTTCCACTGGCTGGTCCCCCGCAGGGTGGGTGGCCGAGCTGTTTCTGCTGAGATGCTCTTGAGGTGCTCACTGCACCAAGAAGGGGGATGCTCCATCTGCCCGGGGCCCCTGATGCCCAAGGCCATTCTGACCGTGAGCCAGCTCCCATTCTTCCCTCCAGGTGCAGTCTCTTGCCCCATGGACTTTGGGGAAACCTTTGGCCCAACTGTTCTGACCCTCTGTATTTTCTTCTATAAAGCGGGGACGGTATTCGTTGCCCAGCATCATCATGAATGTCACGTAAGATACTGAACTTAGAAGCACTTTGAAAAATGTAAATTGTGTTACAATTAATTGAGAACTGTTTTTCTCACTGTCATGACATTCATATTTCTTCCTTGTCTGTTTCCATTTAACTAATAACCAAAGAGTCTTTTCTGGAGGGTTTCCCGGAATAACTCTTGTTTCTCCACTAAAATACCTCTACTTGTATTTAATGCGAAAAGACCTGGATGTGACAATTTACTCAAGCCACTGTGAAATTGTGTGGTCAGTAAGAGTTTAGATGAGTAAACACCCTCTCTCTCCTGAGCCCCAGACAGTAAACCAATAGTTATGAGCAACCAGGGGATTTTTCTCTAACGACCTTAAAAACCTCACCGTATCATTGATGCAAACAGGGCTAATGAGAATACAGTTCTCTAGGGCCGTGTTTGTCAAACCAAGCCATTACTGGGTACTTTGATTTGTCTTTTTTTTTTTTGGCCTCGTAGCTTTTTGGGGGCCAATCACAATAATCCAACATGAAAAATTCTATACAGCCACACATGTCTACACTTTAATAAGCAACTCCAAACTCAGGTTCTCAGTTCAATCCCCTGATCTTATGTGGTTTCCATGACCCCAGTGTGCACACTGAGTTTCATTCGTTCATTCATTCATTCATTCATTCATTCATTGTGTCAGATGCACGGTCTAGAAAGACAAAGTGCCCCTGCCTGTAGGGGCTCCTAGCCCATCACGGCATGGGTCGCTGAGACAGAAGGCACACATCGGGTCTTCCCAGCCTCAGTCCTGTCGGCATCATGGGCCAGGTCCTTCTCTGTTAGGGGCGGTCCTGTGAACTATAGGATGTTAAGCCGCGTTGTTGGCCTCCACCCACTAGATGCAGTGCCCCGCCCCCCCCCCGAGTTCTGACAACTGAATTGTCCCCAGACACTGCCAAATGTCCCCTCAGGAGTAAAATCACCCCTTTGAGAGTGGCTGGCGTACCGAATAAGATGGCACAGAACAAGGAGGAGTCCGTTCGTTATCTATTTGTTTGGCAAAGGATTGCTACAAGTCTTCCTCAAGTTAGGAGCTTCTGGCTACTGGGACTGCAGGGTTTTCTAAGGTGGAAATGATTCTGGTCCTCATACAGCTCAGAGGGGAGGATGGGTGCCACCACGGGGCTGGGGCAGGAGAAGGGGGGAGTAGCGCTGGTTGCACATCGAGAAAGCCTTCTATGTTTCATGACATTTGAGCTGCGCCTTGACATATGGGTGGCAGGCATCAGAGGTCCCAGAGGAGAAGTTGAAACAATTGGCTATATTCAGAGAACCATGGAAAAGACACTTGGTGAATTTGGGGCATGGAGCCTGTGTGTGTGTGTGTGTGTGTGTGTGTGTGTGTGTGTGTGTGTGTGTGTGTGTGTGTGTTGGGGTGAAAGTGCAGAATTCAACAGACCTGGCTTCAAATCCCTGTTCCAACACTTCCTGGCTGTGTGACCTTGGGTGAGTTACTTAACCTCTCTGAATCTCAATTTCCTCATCGATAAAATAAACCTAAGAATAGTGGGATATGACACTGGATTTTTATAGGGATTTAATAGGTTAAAACATGTAAGATGCTTGGCACAGTGCCAGGCACCGGGTGGACACAATAAATGGGGCTTTTATTTTTGGAACAATCACAGAAGCTCTCATCCTCTGACAAAGTTAGCTTCGTTCTGGCCTCTTGAAAACACACACACAAAATTTCCGTCTTTCGTGTGGATATTATGACTTGGTTTATTCTGTCACAGTGCTCTTCAGGAAATCCAGTATTTTGCATTTAGGTGGCTCATTTCCCAGCTTTTTCAATAACGTCTATTTTAACAGGTTGAGATAAATACACTCATTCTATGTTTCTCCCTTGATTAGATTTTTTTCTTACTACTTTATTTTTCGTTGCAAACCTACTATCGTGGCATTTCTGGGTTTCATTTGCCCATGAATTAGGCTTATGCTCTTTTAAAAATAGAGTTTCCAGACTCCTCATGTGAAATTTTGGGGTTCTTTCACTCATTTCCTTGGCTGAATTACAGAGCGGCTACTTGTTTTCAAAGTCTTTGAACATGTAATTGTTAGTCTAAAAGCGCTCACAATCCTTAACCCCTCCAACACGGGCTTCTAACGCGTGCTGTGTTGGGGCAGCCTCGCTCCATACCGTGGCTCTATGCAGGAGAAACTCGGAGCAAAGGAGGTGCTGGGTGTGGGGCAGATGAGGTGAACCTCCGGATCTCTGAAAGGAGCTCCTCCTAGAAAAGCAGCCATGATTTTGCCTCTCTTTAAGCCTAAAGTGCAAAGCCGATC